TGTCCAGGGCAGTGGTCACATCATGAGGCTTGCTGTTGCAGGTGAAAGGGCCCTGTGACTTAACCTTCCAGACTATGGGGACTCCCAGAAGGTAACGGTTATGGGCACAATCTACAACCAGACCAAATGTATTTTTGATCTAGCCTTGGAGAAGATGAGAGAGAGAAGCACCCTTAGGAAACAGAAGAGGGGCGCCTTTAACCTCTGCTTGTTGCGCAAATCTAATTACCGGTACCATCCTGTGAGGGACCGAGACCCAGGTTTCCATTGTCTGCTACAGCAGCAAGGGGATGGCAGGGTGGCACTAATCAGAATCAGAATAAGCTTTATTATTATTGCACTGAGATACAACGAGAACATATACGTAGTCATCCGAAAGATGGACGGAGTGCACAAAGCTGCTGCTATAAAGCGCGGCCCTCTTATTCTTATTAAGAATAATATTTTTAAATAGAAAAAGGGACAAAGCCATGAGGAGAGAGGTAGTGGCATTACCAAAAAGACCTCTTCACACCTTGTCCTTATAGGGCAAGATTTAAGACATAAAAAAACTGCCAGCCAAAAGCACATTTATGAACAAGTACATATGCATTTACAAACAAGGTGGTCCATGAAGCCTTAGATAGTCCATTGTCCTGATAAGATGATGGTCAGCCGGCACAATTCTATTAAGACTCCACAGAAGGGGGATGGGGAGGGAGGGGTGTTGCGAAAGACAAAGCTTTGCCTTAGTTTACACATTTCCCAGGAGAAATTGATATTGGCCTGTTTCATGGCCAGCTGGGGAGAGATTCAGATAACCACATTGTTGATTTATTCAGGCAGACTATTTTTCCGTCAGCCTTGAGTCTGTACTGATAACTTCCTAGGTCTTAAATGTCCAGATTAGAGTGCATTCCACTGGTCCGTGCTTATGAGCCTCTTCAAGATGGTTTGTTCATGCTGGCAAGTCCCAAAGCCGCAGGTGGCATGCGATTCAAATCATTTCCAACTTACGGTTTTGCTCGTAAATCAGCTGATTTTGAGTCCTCCAGCACAAACCAGACTTTCACTTAGACAGCAGCTTGTTGAGGTCCAAATTAGCTGCAGCCGTCTTCTTTGTATGTTGATAAGGCAGGATCCAGACTATTCCAAACACAGGAAACCTGTTATCATAAATCCAGTTATTGGCAACTTCAGCATCCTTGGTCAATAGCAGAGGTAGACACATCCCCCCAGAGATATATCTAGCTGCATGCGCCTCGTCTGAGCAGATGAGGGTTCTCCAGGACCCTGTCGTTTTGTTGAAAAGAATTTGTAATATATGTCGGAAGTTCAGTTGATCAGATCCAAAACAGTAGTTTCCATTTCGGGAGATGTGTAAAAAAAAATAGGAGCTGCTCCGATACACAGACAGAGAGCAAATAATAATAATAATTTTTTAAAAAGCAAGAGGGAAACAGGGAGCGGGAAGCATGCACCTCTTTTGAGAGCTTGAGAGAGAGAAAAAAACATGCACCCAGACAAGCAGTTGGTCACCCAAACCAACAAAATAAGGAAGAGAATCTTAAGACCTTAGAGCACTCCTTTGCAGCAGTGCCCACTAGGAAAAACCCATCCTACCAAGAAAAAGTGGAGATCCTAGCACCTACAACTTTTCCCCCTCCAGTGAAAAGAAGAAAATTGGCAGAAGAAGGAAGATCCCATCTCTGCCAGTGTTCACATACTCTTGTAGTTCCCTGTTCAGCGCAGGGGTGTTGTTTGTTCAGCCCTCTCATGTTCAGAGAGAGGAGACTGTGAGGCAGAAAACACTGTCACCAAGCACTGAATATCCTGATGCATGTTCAATAATCCAGGTAGAAAAATCTAAAAAAGTTAAGTCTGGTCCTCTGGGCATTCAAGCACTGAATGTGCAGCCATTACACACTCAACAGCGCTCCTTCAGTTTCACCAAATGCTCACCAGTGCCCCAATATGCTACAGTTTGTTCAGGGGGAAACAATAAAAACAGAGAATTCATTCCTGCAGCCAGACATGTTGTTAAGGGCAAAGATAAACAACAAGAGAAAACTTTATCAAAGCTTCTGATGCATGCTCATGCATGCTTTTTTAGGTTTATCAAAGCTTGTGCCCAACAGAGGGTGCTCGTGCTCTTTCAGAGACAAAAAGTGGAGCACAGCAGCGACACGGGAGTGACATTACCTTGCGGCAATACAGAAGGACTGCTCTCGGTGCGAGAGGAAAAATGGTGCTCATGCACAGTTCCACCACAGGTTCTGACCACATTTTCTTGCGATTACAGACTTCAGATTCAGCACACATTCTGGAGGATGAGATTACTTTTCTTTTAAGCAAACAAGTGATTAGAGGAATACGGAACAAGGAAGCTCACCACCTCACTCTATTCTCACTATTGTCTGATCCCAAAGAAAGATGGTTCATCCCTCTGCCCCATATTAGACTGATTGTGTTAAACTGACATTTACACAGATTATACAGTGCATCAGGAAAGTATTCACACTGCTTCACTTTTTCCACATTTTGTTATGTTACAGCCGTGTTCCAAATTGTACAGAATTCATCTCTGACCTCAGCTGGTCAAAGCAGATGGCCTCTTGTCCTGAGCCTGGTTCTGCTGGAGGTTTCTTCCTTTTAAAAGGGATTTTTTTCTTTCCACTGTTGCCACTGTGCTTGCTCAGGATGGGAGACTGCAACGAAGCCAAGATTCAACTTGTCTGCTGGATTCCTTAGATAGAGAACTTTACTAATTGGCTTTTATGTATGTGAATGTTCCTGTAAAGTGCCCTGAGACAACTTTGTTGTGATTTGGCACTATATAAATAAACTGAATTGAATTGAATTGAAAATTCTACACACAATAACCCATTATGACAATATGAAAAATATTTTTGAGTTTTTCTTTCCTTCAAATTTATTAAAAATAGAAAACTAGGAAATCACATTTACATAAGTATTCACAACCTTTGTTTAATACATTGTTGATCCACCTTTGGCAGCAGCTACAGCCTCCAGTCTTTTTGAATATGATGCTTTAAGCTGAGCACACCTATCTTTAGACAGTTTGTCCCATTGTTCTTTGCAGTACTTCTCAAGCTCCATCAGGTTGGGTGGGAGATGTTTGTGCAGCCATTTTTAGATATCTCCAGAGATGTTTGATCAGATACAAGTCTGGACTCTGTCTTGGCCCCTCCAGGACCTTCACAGAATGGTCCTGAAGGCCCTCCTTTGAGATCTTGGTCATGTGCTTTGGGTCATTGTCCTGCTGAAAAATGAGCCCAGTTTGAGGTCAAGAGTGCTCTGGAGCAGGTTTTCATCCAGGATGTCTCTGTGCATTGATGCATTAATCTTTCCCTCCATTCTGACTAGTCTGCCAGTTCCTGCTTCTGAAAAGCATCACTATAGCATGATGGTGCCATCACCATGCTTCACTGTAGGGATGGTATTGACCTGGTGAGGAGCTGGTTTCCTCCAAACATGACACCTGGCATTCACACCAAAGAGTTCAATCTTTGTCTCATCAGACCAGAGAATTTAGTTTTTCATTGTCTGATAGTCCTTTATGTGTCTTTTGTCAAACTCCAGACGGGCTTCCATGTTTATTTTATTAAGGAGTGGATTTTGTCTGGCCACTCTACCATATAGGCCTGATTGCTGGATTGCTGCAGAGATTATTGTCCTTCTGGATGCTTCTCCTCTCTCTACAGAGGAATGCTTGAGCTCTGACAGAGTGACCATTGGGTTCTTGGTCATCTTCCTGAATAAGGCCCTTCTCCCCTAATCACTCAGTTTAGATGGCCGACCAGATCTAGGAAGAGTCTTGGTGGTTCCAAATTTCTTCCATTTATGAATGACGGAGGCCACTGTGCTCATTGGGACCTTCAAATCAACAGAAAAAGGATTTGTGCCTCAAGACAATTCTATCTCGGAGGTCTACAGATACCGATAATTTCTTCGACTTCATGCTTGGTGTTTGCACTCTGACATGCACTGTCAACTGTGGGACCTTCTATAGACGTGTGTGTTTCCAAATCAAGTCCAATCAGATGAATTTACCACAGGTGGACTCCATTTAAGTTGTAGATACATCTCAAGGATAATCAGTGGAAACAGTCTGTATCGAAGCTCAATTTAGACCTTCATTGCAAAGGCTGTGAATACTTATGTAAATATGATTTCTAAGTTTTTTTATTTTTAATAAATTTGCAAAAATCTAAATAAATGTTTTCACATTGTCATAATGGGGTATTGTGTGTAGAAATTTGAGGAAATAAATTTATTTAATACAGTTTGGAACAAGGCTGTAACTTAACAAAATGTGGAAAAAGTGAAGTGCTGTATTTCTGAATGCACTGTATCTTCAGAATGTTACCACACAGAACACGCTGTCACTCCATCCATCCAGCAGTTTGATTTGTAACCACTGATCTGGAGGATACTCATTTTCACATTGCCATTCATGCACCACACAGGAAATTTCTCAGGTTTGCTGATCAGGGCAAATCCCACGAGTTTCAAACCATCTCATTCCAGCTTTTGTTAGAACTGTGGATATTCAGCAAGTGTGTGGAAGCAGTGCTGTCCCTGCTGAGGGCGTTTGGTATCAGGATACTCTTGTACCAGTACATAGACAAATTTTTTATGTTCTCCAACACAGTTTTAATAAAACTTTGCTATATATTTAGTGGGTGTGTACTCAGATAAAGCAACAATTTAAAACAAATCTTTTTTAATTGTTTTTTCAACTTCATGCTTGTGTGTGCAAACACTTGAGTTGTTTAAAAGGCAGAAATTACCAAAGTGAAGAGTTTTGGTTTTAGTAAAAGGCAGTTAATTCAGCATTTCTTCTCTTTAGCATCATCACTAGCTGGTTGTTTGGGTTTATTAATAAATTAGTTTATTTTTGTGTTGACATATTTTATTCTATTATCTCAACCTCCATCTTCACCATATGTCCATTCAATAAAGTTGAAAACTTGAACATTACTAACATGTGTTCACAGGGCTACACCACCCACACCCTCCGGCTTCACTCCTGCTGGGAGATCACCAATCATGGAGTAGTGAACATGGTTCACAGCCTTCCAAACCTGACTGCCCTTAGCCTCTCTGGCTGCTCGAAGATCACTGACGATGGTGTGGAGCTGGTTGCTGAAAACCTCCGAAAGCTGCGCAGCCTGGACTTGTCCTGGTGCCCCCGGATCACAGACATGGCTCTGGAGTACATTGCTTGTGATCTGCACAAGCTGGAGGAGTTGGTGCTCGACAGGTCAGTGCTGCTTGTGATTTAAATTTTGAGAAAGATACCCAGATATCCCTTATGATGAGAAAAATGGATGGAAACCGTGTTCCCTTGCTCGGCCGTGGGTCACTGGAGCCGCACTCTGGAGCCGGGCCTGGAGGTGGGGCACGCTGGCGAGCGCCTGGTGGCCGGGCTTTTACCCATGGAGCTCAGCTGGGTATAGCCCAAAGAGGAGATGTGGGTCCCCCTTCCCATGGGCTCACCACCTGTGGGAGGGGCCAAAGGGGTCGTGTGCAATGTGGGATGGATGGTGGTCGAGGACGGGGACCCCGGCAGTCTGATCCTCGGCTACAGAAGCTGGCTACTGGGACGTGGAATGTCACCTCTCTGGTGGGGAAGGAGCATGAGCTGCTGTGTGTGGTTGAGAGGTTAGACTCACCTTGACGCATGGCTCTGGCTCTGGCTCTGGAACCAGTTTCCTTGAGAGGGGTTGGACACTCTTCCACTCTGAAGTTGGCCCAGGTGAGAGGCGCCGAGCAGGAGTGGGCATACTTATTGCCCCCCAACTTGGTGCCTGTGTGTTGGGGTTCACCCCGGTGAATGAGAGGGTGGCTTCCCTCCGTCTATGTGTGGGGGGACGGGTTCTGACTGTCGTTTGTGCTTATGCACCAAACAGCAGTTCAGATTATCCACCCTTTCTGGAGTCCTTGGAGGGGGTACTGGAAAGTGCACCTTCTGGGGACTCCCTTGTTCTGCTGGGGGACTTCAATGCTCGCGGGGGCAATGACAGTGAGACCTGGAGGAGTGTGGTTGGGAGGAACGGCCCCCCTGATCTGAACCAGAGTGGTGTTCTGTTGTTGGACTTCTGTGCTCATCATGGATTGTCAATAACGAACACCTTGTTCAAGCATAGAAGTGTCCATATGTGCTCTTGGCACCAGGACACCCTAGGCCGCAGTTCGATGATCGACTTTGTCATCGTCTCATCTCATCTGCAGCCACATGTCTTGGACACTCGGGTGAAGAGAGGGGCCGAGCTGTCCACTGATCACTACCTGGTGGTGAGTTGGCTCCGATGGTGGGGGAGGATGCCGGTCAGACCTGGCAGACCCAAACGTGATGTGAGTGTTTTTTGGGAACGTCTGGCAGAGTCTCCTGTGAGACGGAGTTTTAACTCCCACCTCCGGGAGAACTTCAAACATGTTCCGAGGGAGGTGGGGGACATTGAGTCTGAGTGGACCATGTTTCGTGCCTCTATTGTCGAGGCGGCTTACTGGAGCTGCGGCCGCAATGTTTTTGGTGCCTGTCGCGGTGGCAACCCTCGAACCCGATGGTGGACACCGTCGGTGAGGGATGCTGTCAGGCTAAAGAAGGAGTCCTATTGGGCCTTATTGGCCTGTGGGACCCAGGAAGCAGCTGATGGGTACTGACAGTCCAAGCAACATGTGGTTTGGGTGGTTGCTGAGGCAAAAACTCAGGCATGGGAGGAGTTTGGAGAGGCCATGGAGAATGACTTCCGTATGGCTTCGAGGCAATTCTGATCCACCATCCGGCGTCTCAGGGGTAGAAAGCGGTACGCCACCAACACTGTTTATAGTGGGAGTGGTGTGCTGTTGACCTCAACTTGGGATGCTGTGGGTCGGTGGGCAGAATACTTTGAAGACCTCCTCAATCCCACCGGCACGTCTTCCACTGAGGAAGCGGAGCCTGGGGTCTCTGAGTCGGGCCCTCCAATCTCTGGTGCTGAAGTCACCGAGGTGGTTAAAAAGCTCCTCAGTGGCAGGGCCCCAGGGGTGGATGAGATTCGCCCGGAGTTCCTTAAGGCTCTGGATGTTGCAGGGTTGTGTTGGCTTACGCGACTCTGCAATATTGCGTGAACATCGGGGGAAGTTCCCCTGGATTGGCAGACCGGGGCGGTGGTCCCCCTATTCAAAAAGGGGGACCGTAGAGTGTGTTCCAACTACAGGGGAATCACGTTCTTAAGCCTCCCTGGTAAGGTCTATTCGGGGGTTCTGGAGAGGAGGGTCCGTCGGATAGTCGAACCTCGGATTCAGGAGAAGCAGTGCGGTTTTCGTCCTGGCCGTGGAACACTGGACCAGCTCTACACTCTCAGCAGGGTCCTGGAGGGTGCGTCGGAGTTTGCCCAACCGGTCTACATGTGCTTTGTTGTCTTGGAGAAGGTGTTCGACCACATCCCTCAGGGAACCCTGTGGGGGGTACTCTGGGAGTATGGGGTACCGGGCCCTTTGATACGGGCTGTTAGGTCCCTGTATGACCAGTGTCAGAGCCTGGTCCACATCACTGGCAGCAAGTCGGGCTTGTTCCCGGTGAGAGTTGGTGTCCGCCAAGGTTGCCCTTTGTCACTGATTCTGTTCATAACTTTTATGGACAGAATTTCTAGGCACAGCCAAGGTGTTGAGGGGATCCGTTTTGGTGGCCTTAGGATTGCGTCTCTGCTTTTTGCAGATGATGTGGTCATATTGGCTTCATCAGATCGTTATCTACAGCTTTCGCTGAAGCGGTTTGCAGCCGAATGCGATGCGGCCAGGATGAAGATCGGTTCCTCCAAATCCGAGGTCATGGCCTTGAGCCGGAAAAGGGTATAGTGCCCTCTCTGGGTCAGGGAGGAGGTCCTACCCCAAGTGGAGGAGTTCAAGTATCTTGGGGTCTTGTTCACAAATGAGGGAAAAATGGAGCGTGAGATCGATAGGCGGATAGGTGCAGCATCTGCAGTGAAGCAGGCGCTGTACAGGTCTGTCATGGTGAAGAGAGAGCTGAGTCAAAAGGCGAAGCTCTCAATTTACTGATCGATCTACGTTCCTACCCTCATCTATGGTCACGAGCTTTGGGTTGTGACCGAAAGAATGAGATCTCGGATACAAGCGGCCGAAATGAGTTTTCTCAGCAGGGTGTCTGGGCTCTCCCTTAGAGATAGGGTGAGAAGCTCGATCATCCAGGAGGGACTCAGAGTAGAGCCACTGCTTCTCCACATTGAGAGGAGCCAGTTAAGGTGGCTTGGGCATCTGTTTAGGATGCCTTCTGGACGCCTCCCTGGTGAGGTGTTCCGGACACGTCCCACCGGAAGGATGCCCAGAGGAAGACCCAGGACACGCTGGAGGGACTATATTTCTCGGCTGTCCTGGGAATGCCTCGGGATTCCCCCGGAAGAGCTGGCCCAAGTGGCTGGGGAGAGGGAAGTCTGGGCCTCCCTACTCAGGCTGCTACCCCCGCGACCTGACCCCGGATAAGTGGAAGAAAATGGATGGATGGATGGATGGATAGAAGTAAACACTTATTCAATAACTATTTTAGAGAGCATTGTGGATTGAGCATTCTCCCATTATCCGTGGCCCTCTTATTCTTATTCAGAATAATATTTTGCTTAGATGAGGAAAGGGAAGAAAACATGAGGAGAGACAGTATAAATAAAAGATCCCTCACGCCGTGTCCTAGACAGGGCACGATTTGCTGTATCAAAAAAGAAAAACTAACACAGCAAAGCAACATAAATAGATGTTATACATGTACATATAGTCCGGTGAAGACATTGAATTTTTAAGGGAAAGTTGTAGCATAATCCAGAGCCCCCCCCCCCCAGCCATTGTCCAGATAAGAGGTGACGTTCATCATCAGCTCAGTTGAGGTTCTGTCACATGTCCACGGCCTTGTGGAAGGGAGGGGTGAGGAGAAAGTCAAAGCATCTTTGTTGTTTTCAAAACATTCCAGGAGGAGTTGAGATAAGTTTGGCGTCAAGGCCACAGTTGGGTCAGGCAGAACTCGTGAAATTGTTGTTTCTACCTTTTTAAAGTCTCCCTAGTGTGTATTCTTCTGATGGAATTCCAAAATAGCTGAATTGACCCTTTACACCAAAAGTCGAGCTCACAGCTCCTCCAAGATTATTACCCCTTCATGTGTGCTGATATAGAGTCCGCAGTCCTGATAACAGCCTGCTCCAGCTCCCTGCTGCAGCTCCACAAATTCAGTCTGAGCGCTGTCAAGATTTGACACATCCACACAAATTTATAGACAATCCAAAATTCACTAGCCAAACAGCAAAATAACCAGTTGTCATCATGAATCCAATTTGTTTCCATGGAAGTAAGAGTGTCCTCCTTATGCCATGACTCCTGTCAGGAGAAGTTGATCAATTTTGTTGAGAGACCAGCTGAACCTTCGAATTAAGAGGTATGCAGAAAAAAAACAAAAAAGAGGCTTTTTAATGGTTCACAGGCCAAAAGAGTGCAGCAGGGAAGCGGGTGGGGGTGGGGGGTGGGGGGGAGACAGGGAGATACGTCTGGTTCGACCGGAGGACAAAGAGAGAGAGAGAAAAAAGGAGGAGTATGTTAAAATTTGTCATGTATGAAAATTGAAAAATGCCCTAAAATGACCCTTTGAACCAAAATGGCCAACTTCCTGTTGAGTTTGGACCAGGGCTCCAAGAGACTTTTTCATAGGTCCTGGGAAGATACATATTGTAGTATGACAGGACAGCTTTCGCTGAGGACACACTACTTAATTAATTATTCTTAAAGCTAGTTCAAGCACAAAGAATATTAATTGTTTAATTAACAACGGATTCTTTCTTTTTCGAGTTAAATTTCTGCCACGTGACCAAGATAACTTGAGAGTGGAGTGTATAATTAGTGACAATGAGACATAATTTATCTTTGACCCATCAGAATAAATGCGGTCATTTATTTAACAGAATCAAAATTTTACATCAAACATGTACACATTGATTTTCTGATCTGTTTCTGATTAATAAACTTAGCAAGTTCAAATAACAAGACAACAGAGGATTACTGATGGAGAATAATTCATCTCTGAAGGCACTTAACTTGATTTACTGGCGAATAGAAGTTTAAAGAGAAGGAGTAAATAAGTTTAAAGGGGAGGATTTAGATGGATGAAGGAAGATGTGTTGACCAGAAATGGCACCCTTCTTTCGACCACAGCTCAGCCCTCGGTACACTCAGGGTGTGACGACTCTTTACCTTTGCCAAAGATAAATCAGCTCCGGTACAGAG